GTTAAATGGACAAAGACAATATGTATTAAATAACACATCGAAATGTGTAATTTCAGTAATTTGTGTAAATGTGTAATTTCAGAATTACATCAGAATCACGTATCCGTATAGAAAACTACATTGTGAATTAATGAGATGACTTGAGGCCACTAACATAATTTTAAAATGTGTTCACTAAAATTGTATTAATATTAAAATAATGATTTGGCAAGTTGTTATCGAATTTAATGTAAAATTTAAACGTTTTCAAAATAAGATATTGATTAGTTTTAAAAGGTATATATTAATACAACTATTTACTTTATAATCCCAAATTTACGATATAAAATGTCCGACACCAAAGAACTTACAATTGGGCAATGCCGCTTCGAATTTTTCACAATTGAGCAATTGTCAAAAATCTGCTTTTTAATCAAAAAGTTGTTTATTGAAACTACCTTCTTTTTTGTATCATGGTTCATATGGCTTCATACCATGTAAATGCGCCATTATGTTTTTCTCTTGCTTTTCTTGCTTTATTCAGACACTATAGAAGTTGATGTTTTTTGAAATGTTTAAAGTTTATATTTGCCTTAACGTATGTATTTGAAAAAAATATATTTTGGATATTCCCATGATCAGATTTTAGTTATAACGTCAGATAAGTACCTAAAGTTTCCAGTTTTCATACTAAAGCCTATGAAAATTCACTATTTTGGTACTATCTCCCTCACTACCAGCGTAATACTTTTCAGCTTTAAATCGGTCTGGAACTTGCTTTAGCAACCGAATTAATATCTGGCAAATTAATTTTAGATTCATTAGTACTTAAACAACATCATATTAAATTTTGAGCTTTACTAAAATGATTTGAAAAATAAATTTTTTTTAATAAAAAATTACGTCTGGCACAATGTTAGCAACAACGGACATGTCTGGCAATGATAAATCTATGTTTCTAAAAGTTAGTTAAAGCCAATGAAAAGAAAATTAGCCTTACTAAAATTACTTAAAAAATTAGCATTTTTAACTGTAAGGATACGATGCGCACTAGTCAACGCAACCATTACCGCCTACCAGATGGCCCCCACGCTAACCGGGGGAGTGAGAGAGATGTCATATCAAAAAACCAGCTGTCCTGAAATTCCTGCTCGAAAACGTTGCTAGCTCTTAGACTAAAAGCACTGTTTATATTTGCTCAACCATGATTTTATTCAACTAACAATATTGTCCAATCAAGGTAGTCGTTTTGTAATTATTAACTAATATACATTTGTCCCAACTGGAAGTCTCAAGTAAATTGCTGACTTTCGTTAACTAGATATTTATTTCGCCATATCCAACTATGCCACTTAGTCACTATAACCGAAACTTGGTAATTATAACTAAACCTTTTTCTGGGTGTAGGATCGCCCTATAAACTGAAGGAGATAAGAGTCTGTGATATTTATTCCTTTACGTATACATGAAAATAAATTACGTTTGAGTTGATATATTTCTTTACTAATGCAAAATAGAAATGAATTTAAATTAATTTTTTACAAAGTCCTAATAACACTTTGCCTAATTTGCATTGCTTCATTAGATAATTCCCTACACTAAAAATAAAATCTGCGTAAATATAACGAAAACTTGCGTATATCTTACGAAAATATTCGTCATTTTGAGCCACGAAGTTTTCNAAAGTAAATGCCATGGACCAATCTAACGTTTCAAATAAAGAACCGATGAGATTTTGCAAATTTTATGCGTTTTTTTTAAAAAAAAAGTTATCAAGCTCTTAAAAAATCACCTGTTACATAACCGTTTTCGTACATACTACGAAAATATGAGACGTCAGACTTAAGTACATTTTACGAATGCATTCCTACTATTTACTAACGAATTTCGTACTATTTCTTTATTTTTTTACGAAATTTATGTAAAATGGACAAAAATATTTCGTATATTTAACGAAATTATTTCGTATATAATGAAAGTGTTGTGTTATAATTTGAGATATGTTTTTTTATAGTGTAAAGAATAAAAGCAATCATACATTTTACGTAAAAAGTGCAGATATTACAAGAATAAATGTCGTGAATAATAATTTTTACCTAAATTTTCTATCTACTCTGCAGTTTAAAATTAATAGAAAAGGTTATTTTACCTACAATAAACCTTAAGTCTTTTATTTATATGCCTTCATTCAAATAAGTATTTTGATGCAAAGTGTTAAATTATGGAACTCAAAAAAACCCTTATTAAATATCGATGGCGGAGTGGAAGATCGACCTATCTCGGCAGCCAGTTCAAAAAAGCCACATCTCAGAAAACTTTTCAAGAACGCCCTACTTCAGAATTTGATTGAAAAACGCCCTATCTCAAACTAAAATACATTGAAAATAAGCTGAGATAGGGCGATTTTGAATCGGCAGCTGAGATAGGATGTTCTTCAACTAAATTCCGAGATAGGGCGTTTTTCAATCAAATTCTGAAGTAGGGCGTTGTTCAAAAATTTTCTGAGATAGGGTGTTTTCGAACTGTCTGCCGAGATAGGTCGATCTTCCACTCAGCCATCGATATAATATGTTATAAAAAATGAAAGAATATAAAAAATACTGGTTTCACTTTCTTAAACATTATAGTATTTTTATGTGGAGGTACTTGGCAGATTCGCAGCTTCTTCGATGTTTGTTTCCTTGACGACTATAAATTAAAGGAAAATTATAAGGTGTTTAAAAGGCAAGTTTCAGTGAAAAATCATACATGTACGTACTTAAAATTTTATTAAATAGTGCGTCTGTTCCTGGCTGGTGAAGTTGGCTGTTTATGAAGTCCCACATTGGAACGCAAGGCTCAGCATGGGCGATGTTAAAAACATTGTGAAGTATTTATCTACAGCTTTAATATTTAAAACCTTCCTAAATTATATTATACGTCTCACAGCAGCCAACCAGTAATTTTGTAATAACACGCGGTATATAAATATATGATAACATATTAAACGGCCGGTAATTTAGTATATTGTAGGAAAATATTCGTCTGTCGTACGAATTTAAAAAACATGTTTCTGCATTTGTTCTTTGTACGAAAGTATTAAGTAAAATGTACGAATGCAGAATTGTAGATTTCGTAAATTTGAAAACCGTACGTAAATATTACGAATGCCTTCGTACAATATACAAAATTATTCGTGCAGAGATTTTACGTAATTTACGAACGTGTTTCGTAAAATAAATGTGAGATTTCGTATATTGTACTGAAAAAATGCCTTACGAAAATCTTGTTTCGTTGTGAAAAATGTGTTCGTATTATGAGCAAAAGTTTCGTACAATGTACAAAAACTAAGACTACGAAAGGTTTTCGCAGCACGTTTACGAAATTTTATTTTCAGTGTAACCCTAACACTTAGCCCTAACACGTTTTGTACCACATCCAGTACCTATTTTACCGCATTCTAATTTAAACGACCGTTGTTTATAAAACTACGAAATAAGATATAAGTCGACATCATGAATTTCATTTTCCCCGAATGCGGTCGACTTTTCACTTTTGGTTTCAATGTGTTTACTATAGGCGGATGAACAATTTTTTTCGGGCGCAACTCAGGAAAAGGCAGGTTAATTGAATATCTGTAATTTTTTACAACAACTGAAAGGTTGGCGAGCACCCCGTAAATTCCTCTGATACATTTTTAAATACCTTCGCTCTTTCTCTACTAATAACGCTGTTGTCGCAATAGAATCCACTTTATTATTATTTAAATACTTAGAAATTCGAACTTAGTGCGCATTTAAGGCAGCACTAACTACGAAAACGTCGGAATTACGATTAGCATTTTTCCCAAATTCGTGACGGGAGTTCCGTTCACGACGGGAGTTCGTCCGTAATACAGAATAGGGCTGTTTATCTTTGTAATTTGAGTTTATGACATTCAGTGCGATACTAGGGTTCTGGTACTCTATTCCAAAAAATATCGTTTTAAAACTATCTCAGGATAAGGCTAAGGATAATTGAATATCTGCATTTTTTTGCAACAACTAACTAACAACTAACTAGGCTAAGGATAATTGAATATCTGCATTTTTTTACAACAACTGACGCCTTATCGTCAGAACTGAAAGGTTGGCGAGCACCCCGTAAATTCTTCTGATAAATTTTTAAATACCTTTGCTATTTCTCTACTAATAACGCTGTTGTCGATACTAGGGTTCTGGTACTCGATTCCAAAAATATCGTTTTAAAACTATCGAGTAAAACATATCGGTATCGAATGCCAAAAGTATCGATATGGTATCATATTGAAATTCGTGTCCCTACTCATGAGATAGAGCACAGTATAAACTTTAAGTAAAGTCCCTTAGAGTCTGAAATATGACGCGCTTCTGAGTCTTAAAAACAAATAATCTTTATAATTCTGATTATTATAAACTTTTACTTCTACGTGAACTTTGTTACTTTTGTTCAACTCAGAATATACATATTTATGACACCAGAAGAGTCCGAAATGTTAAAAGACTTCAGTTTCCAGTAAGCATTTGCTTTGCAATGTCCATTCTCAAATCGCAGGGACCAAACCTTAGGGCTGTAGATTTTGATTTGACGACCAGTCGTTTTTCGAACGGTCTACTAAATTTCGCATGCTCTCGCGTTACCAGGTTGTATATTTTATCTCCAGAAGGAAAGGCGTCAAATATAATTATTTTTTTAATTTGGTAAATATAATCTTTAAACTTCAACTTCAACTTGTACGTTTTTGTTTTTTTATCGAATTTCAATAAACCTGTGAGGTATTCGCAAGTATATGGAAAAGTTGTCAGCTACGCAGATGGAGTCGCGGGTATCAGCTAGTAAAATATATATTCATATTATTTTCTTCTTGCAGACATATGCAACTCACTCACAATGACCGAGGTGGATATACCTAATCACATAATGCGCTTCAAGTCAGCTGTTCTTGGCTGCAGGTATACCATGGATGGAGAGTCACTATACTCAGTAAAATGGTACAAGGATGGATATGAGTTTTACCGGTATCTGCCGCGCGATAAACCGCCAGCGCAAGCTTTTCCACTGCCCGGTGTCAGTGTAGATGTAAGTACGCATCAACTTGATTGAAGTTCATTGATGAGGGTTTTCATATATATTTTATGCATTAGCAATATTTAAGCATTCAGTGTAGTATGTGCATTAGAGTAGAACTCCATACCAGGTTTTACAGGCGTACAGTTAAATAAGGCACTGGGAACTTCAATATCGCTGATAAAAACGTTGAGAACCACTCTTAGGGTCTTTACTTTTTTTAGGTTGAAGAACCTGTGGGAAAATCCGGAGGACCTCGGTCTGAAAACAGAAAACCGCACAAAAGCTAACACCTGACGGTATTTTAGTAGTCCTTCTTAACTTATTCAGCGATCGGAACCGCTGTATTTACCTACTGCACTATGTGTTTATGTTTATGTAATCATTCACCGCCGCCAACCCGTAAACGGCAGTAAACCTTACCCAGAATCTTTCTCTAGAATACTATGTATTTATAAACGGTTGATATCATTGTCCATGCTGTTCCGGAGCAATTTTCAGGTTAAACGAATCCATTAAAAATTAAGCGATGCCTTTTCCAATTCAAACGAAACCCTTTTCAGATTAAGCGCGTCGCGTACTGGCCGCAACAAAGTATTCCTCGTTATGTTTACCTATTTCTTTTCACTCCAACCGATAGGAGTGAAGTCTACCAAAACTGAAGTGTACATATGTATGTAAACGCTTAAGTAGTAGTATGAGCTCAAGGCGAAACATGTTTGTCGGTGGGAGCGCCACCGTAAAGGGGAAAAGTCTCCATTAGGGTATCCCGCCCCAAAACGGTGCCGACCTAAAGTAATAATGTAAAACAGGGGTGGGCAAGGCCGAGGCCGAAAAGAACCACATGTAAATTCTAAATGCTACAAAGAGCCACAAAAAATAAACACAAAAACAAAACTTTTATTTTTAAATAAAATTATTATTAGAAATGAAAAACATTAATTTCAATATTATCTTAATGTACGTAAGATAGATATTAAATAAAATTCAAAACATCCCTTTGGCGATATTTTCAAAATCTGGTTTTATAATTGATTTCCACCAAACCTTAACTGCAGTAAAAAGGAGATTACAACTCGAAGGAGATAATTCCACCTATTTAGTGGAAGCAAACGAATGGAAAAAAGCAATACTTAAGAAAAAAGCTTTGCTCATCACCCCATATTAGAAGTATTGGAACTTCTCTGAGCTCTTAACTGCAGTTAAGCCTTTGGTGGGAAGGAGATAATTCCACCTATTAAGTGGAAGCAAACGAATGGAAAAAAGCAAAACTTAAGAAAAAAGCTTTGCTCATCACCCCATATTAGTATTATTGGAACTTCTCTGAGCTCTTAACTGCAGTTAAGCCTTTGGTGCAAATCTTACTTTACGTTAGTTAAATCCAAATGTAACAGTTCTGTTAAATGTTGGTTAGTCAATAGGTTCACTCGTTTAAAATCTCCAGTAAAAAATGTCCAACAGCTAAATTCATCTGTTCTCTCACAAGAGAAATATATCCAAAATGGTACGCGAACAGAAACTTGCAAATCCCGAAATCTTATCCTGACCAGGGTTGCCACTTTGGTAAATTGTTACCAAAATTGGTAGAAAAAATTTGGGTTGATAAAAAGGTAAATATTTTCTCATTTCGGTAGATTTTTGTTTTGTAATTTTTCTTATTTCTCTTTATATTATAAATTTCTTTGCAACTTTTTCATATACTTACATACGTATAAATGTATATCGATATAAGGCGAACATATCGTGCTCTATTCAAAACTCATTTTACTGGAATCCCGAGGAGCGTTTGATTGCCTAAATATTTTAAATGATTATTTAAATAAAAAGAAAATAAAAATTGACAGGTATGTAATTACGCATTATGGCTGTGTGCCAATCGGTAACATTTTTCTCCGTGCTGAGGCGAGGTAAGAAAACGTACTATGGTGTACAAATAAATTGAATTTTGCTGTGCCAAATGCAAAGTAAAATTTTGACAGTTCAAAAAAACCAAACAAACACTCGTACGAAAGCTCTATTGTTGTATGTTGCTGAAATTGTTCAAATGTGTATCTATTTTGCAACTTGCAAGTAGCGTACGCTTTTTTTTGCTTTTTTCAGCTTCCATTTTGATTTTCATTCTTTATTACCGTCAAACAATACTGTGCATACATATTTATTTGCGTCAAAATTTTACCTAGCCCCGTGAGCTTGGTAAAATTCTGGCGTTCGTATGCACCGCGAGAAATGTAAAGTTTTTAGTTTCATCCGTCAAATTTTCCTATTTTCTATGAATTGGCACAGGCCCTATGATTGTTCGCAAAAAACACTATTTTTATAAATGGAAATTGTTAATAACAAAAAACACAAAATACTGGCGGCAAAAAATTAATCAATTGCTATAAAACTCCATGCCTTAAATTGTTCTAAAAATCCAGAATTAAAAATTCGAAATTTAATTAATTTTTTTAAATTTTTCTTAATGTTGTATATCTTCGTCTAAAGTAGAAAACCGCGTATCAAGATAATGCGGAACCGCTTATGTGAGGTTGCATAAATTATTTTCTAGAGAGTAAAAACACTCATATTTCAAAATGGTTCCCTTTTTTATAAAGCAATCGCATTTCTAGCTAGTATATTTCAGGACGAATAGATAAGGATTGAGCCAATTGCTTGTGTGAGCAAATCCAATTTTTGGCAGCAAATGTCAGTTACGCGGTTTTCCAGCATGACAATCTCTCCGTCACACACTTGTTTCGATTGGCATATTCGGTACGCAGGAGTCTGGCTGCACCCACATGCAAATTGTATGAATTTATATAGAAATTATGTGCAACATTTGTTCAGTTAAACTTATTTATTGTAAGTTATTCAAATATTTACTTAATTTAAGGGCTTTCTTTTTTATTTTATTATTTAAATACACTGGCGATCAAAACCGGGTGCATGTTCGACATTTTATTACTTACAGTAACATAACTTTTTTAATAATAAGCGGATTGCTTTGAAATTTTCAGCAATTTTTCCTTATTATCTAAGGTATAAAGCCCAGTAAATAGAAAAATTAACAAGTGATTCACAGCAAAAACGCAAGGCAACTATCTTCACTCAGTTTTGAACTTTTAGGAAGTATATATCAAGAGGATTATGGCGACTCCTTTGCTTTTAATAGCGATTTTCATACGTCCGGGAATGCTCTCTACTGAGTTTTCTATGATTTCGCTTGGAATATTACCGCATTATAATTTTGAAATCCCAGACCTCAAAGCTATCGAAAAATGGAGCGCTGTGGTCAAGAGAGGATTAGCATAGCACAAGCGAGCTCCGAGTAACATCATTTTAAGTAACAAGTAATTTTTTGCAAAAAAAAACCCGACTTCAATTCTCATATAAAAAAAATATATATATACTAGTGAACCCGCATGACGCCAAAACGCCAACATTCAATTAAACTTTTTAAACTGGTGAAACCCTATTAAATAACCTCTAAAAATATTCCTAATGATTAATCTAAGCCATTTCTCAGTGGTGCTTTTAAAGTTTACGACATACAACAATACCACACTTCTGTCACCGTTGTGAATCCCCCAATAATTTCTTGAAACTCTTTCATTTGACATCCATCGCTCATATTTCATATAACTTGAGTATAAAATAGACTTCTTAAATAGGTGGCAACCCTATTCAAAATATTTCCAAACTACCTTCTTAAACCTCTTTTATATGACATCCATATAGCGATACCTTATTCACTTACCAAATTCCTTTACATAATTATAAGTGAATACAATTTTTTTTCATTTGGCAACCCTCCTGTACGTAGTTAAGTTATAAAGCCTTTTCAAAACCATTTCGATTGCTACCCATATTTAATAATTGATTAACTTATTAATTAATTTGAGCTTAATTTCTTAACAGGTGGCAACTTTTTTCGAAAAAATAAAACCAGTTTGCACATCTACAGGCCAAGCGCTTTAATTTGACACCCTGAACGAACGGTGCAGATCTTTTATGCTGCACAAAAAATGCCGTATTATATACATAGATATATCTCATGATCCACTGATCGGATCTTAACCAGATTAGTATGGGACCACCGCCGAGGTACTACCTTTCCGATGCAAAAAGAATTATCGGTTGACGGTAGTAAAGTTGACGGTCGGAAAGCTATGCGGTAACATACATATAAAAAAACAAGTAAGAAAGTCTAAGTTGGGGCGGAGCCGAACATTAAATACCCGGCGCAAGTATTAAATATATGTTTTTCACCTTTCCGCAAGCTACATGGTAAGCCGGGGTGTATCAATTTTGAGTAAGTTAGCGTCCTTAAATTTCGAAATATTGAAATTTCAAGCATTTCTGAAATTTATTGTTATATGAAAAGCGGCCGTAATTTTTGGCCGATTTCAACAATTTTCAACGCTTTGCTTTTATGTGGCAAGCACAATAACCATACCGAGTTTGGTACAAATTGGTAGAACGGTTACCGAGATACATATATGTGATCATAAGTGGGCGGTGCCACGCCCATTTTCCAAAATTTTATCATAAACTTATTTCTTGGTAAATGATGGTTGCGNGCGACGTCTACCTCTCGTGTCTATTGTATGGTTTTTGATATGATACCTATCGATGAGGTTGATATTTAGACTAGGTTGTATAGAAATGCCATAATACCTTTGCTATAAATGGTGGTATATCTTGGTAAAGAATTGTTGCAAGCGTCAATTTTGAATAAATTAGCTTTAATATTTACTGATTTATCGAAGATTTCGTATTTCTCTAAATTACCCTTATATGGAATGTGGGCGTAGTTATTGTCCGATTTTTAAAATTTTCGGCCATTTGGTATGCCGTACCAAAGCCAACAACTGTGCCAAGTTTGGAAATCGGTGCAGCGGTTGCCAAGATATACACATGTAACCATAAGTGGGCGTGGCCACGCCCATTTTTCAAAAATTTATAATTTTCTTATTTTTCGTCTGAAAATTATTGTAAATATCAATTTTGAGTGAATAATCTTCAGTAGTTAC